CCACCCCGCACGAGCACTTCTGGGATGAACGTTCACACACTTGGCACAGAAGACAGACAGGGTTTAATAGTGCACCCATCTGTCTTTCACACCCACAAAGGTCTGCAGAATGCATGGATGTACGAGGATCCTCCAGTAATGTTATGTAGCTGCATTTAAACACCATATTGTACTACAAATCCCATACATGCCTAAGGAATGCTCGCAGCTCTCAGAGAATACAGTGTGGTGATGAAGAATCACACCCTTGCTTTCTAAGCAGGCCGAGGCAGGAGTGGACAGACAGAGACAGACCACAGCAGGAACAGCACTCACTCACTTTATTCGATCATTATTTTCAGCAAAGCACAAAGACAGGGGAAAGCGTCCGGTTGACTGCACCTAGTCTCCAGCTGACTGAAAGCCACAATCTCTGTCACTTTCCAGACGTCTACAGCGACGTGAGCACTTCAAACCGAAGGAAAAGAGCCTGGAACCGAGGAAACCACAGACGGGGCACACAGCAGACAGGGGGATCTCCAGCACGGCAGTGTCTGTGTGATGGCAGAGGTACGAGGGGGTTGGTTTGCTCAGCGTTGTTGTTAGTCAGTTTTACGGTACACCGCAGCGCACTCCACAAGACTACACACACACAAATACAACACTTACACGGAGGGGTCACCCCCATCGGCACACATCACACTCTGATTTATTACAGCTGACGAGCCACCACAGCCACAAACAAGGGGAAAAAAGAAAAAAAAGAGAGAAACGACGTGGCACAGGGGTCTAAAGGGAAGCTGGACAGAGAACGTCCATCCTGGGGTCGGTGTAGAGTTCCGTCTCGCCCTCCACGATCTTCGCTGCTCAGCACTCCTCCTCGCCCAGACTGCGCCTCCCTGTGCATGCCCAGCAACGCAAAGAGCCCTCCCCCAGTGAGGGTGAAGGAACTGTCACGTCTGGAAGCAGGTTATTCAGGCTTGGGAACCAGAGAGTTGAACTGGGGACTAACTGAGCCTGGTGCTAAATGGGGACCAACTGGCCCTGGGGGCTAACTGAGCTTGGTTGCTAGCTAGGCCTGGGCTAACTAGTAGCAAACTGCACCTGGGTGTTAACTGGGCTTAGGAGCTAACTGGTCTTGGTTGCTATTTAGGCCTAGATGCTAACCAGGAGCTAACTGGGCTTAGGAGCTAACTGGGCCTAGATGCTAACCAGGAGCTAACTGGGCTTAGGAGCTATCTAGGCCTAGATGCTAACCAGGAGCTTACTGGGCTTAGGAGCTAACTGGGTGCTAACTGGGCAGGTCATGGCAGTCCTGGAGGGCACTGAGGATTGCTGGCACCGCAAGCCAGTAACGGAGAGAGGGAGCTAACTGGGGCTGGGTACTTAATAGGGACTAACTGGCCCTGGGTGCTAACTGGGCAGGTCTGAAGCAGACGGAGAGAGATGGGTGCCTGCAGCAGGGGGGTGGGCTGACACAGGGCTGGGGATGAGGGAGCCGAGGGGGCAGAAGCAGGAAGCGTGACCGTGAGAGAGGCAGAGTGAGGCAGAGGGACCCCTTCCTGCCGCCCCCGGACAAGAGCGAGCCCAGCGTCACTGCGTGCAGCCCGCAGCGGGGTAACCCCTCAGACAGCTGGGGGCTCGGTCTGTGTAGGCAGGGGGCAGTGGCAGGGGGGGCGGAGGGGCGCCTGTGTCCATCCGGGACTGCAGACACTGGTCTGTGGGCAGAGAGAGAGAGAGACAGAGAGGTGGACTAGAGTCACTCCATGAGCAACCAGCTGTTGACATTTGCTGAAAATCAGATCCCATGTCGTTGTCCTCCTAAGATTTCAGATCATAGCTTGACAAGAGCAGAGGGTCAGACTTTACAAAGGTGTAAATGTCATTTTCTAAATTCTGGGGGGGGGGGGATGTATATCCCAGATAACCAATAACCAATAATTCCTACTGATGGCCCCTCCTGAGCTCCGTATGAGAGAGCTGTGCTCAGTGCCAGTCACCAGGCTGGAAGAGCATTGTTCCCCAGTGCAAGTAAGAGGGTTCTAGTCCAAAGGGAACATCGTTCTCTGACACAGGAAGGGAAGCCAATCTTTTTCAGGCGGAAAAGCAGAGGATGTCGACTCAGGAATTTTAAAATCCTGAATGCTCAGGCCAAGGTACTTCAAGTGACAGGAGGAGACAGGAGCTCCCAGGGCGAGAGAACCCAACAGGAGACGCTGCTCATGGGACAGGATTGTAGAATGAACTTCCCAACCACGGCCATCCTTAAGAAACAGCTCGAAGGGATTCTTGGATCCTTAGGCTGCGAGCAGAGGTGGGCTTTGTTAAACTAACGCACCAGGATCCTCAGTAGCTGCAAATTGAAATTAGAGAGCATGCAACGCAAACGGGAGTCCGTTTCTGAGATGCAGCAGAAAGGAACAGAGACGAGGGGTGAGCAGGAGCAGAGGGGGAGTGACGAGGGGTGCACAGGCGCAGAGACAAGAGAGGGAATGGGGAGAGGAAGGAAGCAGTCCCTGAATAATGAGAGAGGCCCAGGCAACAGGGGAGTGTGGGCCTTGGAGGGCTGCTGTATTTACCAGAGCGCTGCTGCTGCTGCTGCGTGCTGCCAGGCTCCAGTCGGGCTCCTCGGGGCCGACAGAGGCCCACAGACAGAGGGAGAGACCTGCCACTGCACACCCTGCCCACACAAGAACAGCATTGTAACACAAATACATATCACCACAGAGCACACCACCATCACACACACACACATAGTGCTCTCGCATTCCCCTTCCACCACCCACTCCCTTCTCTCACCAGTCATCTGGGTCCGACTCCCTGAAACCTTTGGCAAAGGGATTGCTGGCGATCTTCAGCTGAGTGATCTGACCGGGAGAGACAAAGTGAAACACTGACATGCAGTTGCAAGAAAAGGTTTGTGAACCCTTTAGAATTCCTGCATTAATTACTCATAAAAAAATGTGGTCTGATCTTCAATAATAACAGACATAAAATCTGCTTAAACTAAACAATTGTACTTGTCAATACTGAACACATTTAAATATTCACAGTCCGGGCTGGGAAAAAGCATGTGAACCCTTGTATTTAGTAACTGGTAGAACCTCCTTTAACAGCAATAGCCTCCCCAACGTTTCCTGTAGCTGCTGATGAGACCTGCACAACGGTCTGGAGGAATTTTGGACCATTCCTCCTTACAAAACTGTTTCAGTTCATTGAGATTTCTGGGATCCCTTGCGTGAACAGCTCTCTTCAGGTCATGCTACAGGATCTCAATTGGGTTGAGGTCTGGATTCTGACTTGGCCATTCTAGAATGGAAAATTCTCTTCTGTTAAAGCCATTCTGTTGTTGATGTACTTCTGCATTTCAGTTCATTGTCTTGTTGCATCATCCAACGTCTATTAAGCTTCAGGTAATGAAGCGCTACCCTGACATTCCCCTGTCAAATTTCATGCTACAATTTTGAATCCATTGTTCCCTCTATGATAGCAAGCTGTCCAGGCCCCGAGGCAGCAAAGCAGCCCCAAACCATGATGCTCACACCCCAACTGTGAAGCATGGTGGAGGGGTTTTGGTGTTGTTGTATAGTCCTTCCCCCCCGCTCTCCAAAAAAAGTGTTGCACGTTTCTGCCCAAGAGTTCAACTTTTGTCTCATCCGTCCACAAAACATTGTCCCAGAAACGTTGTGGAACATCCAGGTGGTCTTTTGCAAGCTGTTGCTGTTGCTGTTGCTGTTGCTGTTGCTGTTGCTGTTGCTGTTGCTGTTGCTGTTGCTGTTGCTGTTGCTG